GTAATTTTTCAAGAAGTGGGCCCGGGGCTCGGGTTTTGCTAGTTTCGAGATTTCTGCTATTTCTCGATTGTTTTCGATTGGGTATTGTTCCCTTAGCATATTGTGATGTATTCGCTCTGATTTTGGTTAGATTCGACGCGCGTGGAGGTCGGTTTGAGGAGCAAAGGCGTCGCGAGCTAGGGATTTTGCCGGTTCGAGGTGAGTAACACTTGTAAATGATATCCTGAGGGTTTGAAACCCCGGGTTTGCACATCATGGTGCTGTATTGAGGTGACTTGCACGCCGGATAGCGAGTGTGGGGTAGAGCACCGTTGGGGATTGTGACTTGGTCCGTCCCGATTGATGAAATTACTACGTATTTGATTGAAATTACTTGTTATCATCATGATTTTAGCTGATTGTCATGTTTTGGGCTTCGTGCCAATTATTTGAATCCTTCAGGGATTGATATCACTGATTTTGCATTACTTTGCATGTTATTTGACCTCGGTCCAGGGTTTTAATACTGTTTTGCAAATTCAGCCATTTTCATGATTTGAAAACTTAAATGATATTTTACTGACGTTTTGAGCTGAGAACTGCTATTTTATTATTGCCCAAGGGGCTTATGTGCATTTCTGGACTGAGCATGGATCGGGCTGCGCGCCGCAGCAGTGTTATAGTGATTTCTGGATATATGGATGGCTCGGGCTGCACGCCGCAGCGGTGTTATATTGATATTGTGCTTGGGCTGTAGGAGTCCCTCCGGAGTCTGAACCCCCACAGTGAGCGCGGGTACCCAAATGGATCGGGCTGCACGCCGCAGCGGTCATGTGCATTGCATTGCATTCATGCATTGGTTCCTGTTTGTACTGCGTATCATGACATTCAGCACTCTCATATCATTGGCATCCATGCTACTTCTTGCACTGTTTACCAGATACCCTGGTGTTATTTGTTGATGGAGTGCTTTGCCCGAGGGGCTGACTTATGTGCGGACTTGCACTATCTGATTACGCATTCATTTGCTTGACTGTTGGAAAAGGATATTTTCAAAAGAGGTTTTTAAACTGAGCCAGATATTCTCTAAAGGATTTTTTCACGGTTTTACTGTTTTCTCAAAGGGTTGTACTGTCCTATATAGCATGATGGAGTGCTCTTACGTGATTTCTTGCCTCTCAGTTATTATTTACCCTTATTACTCACTGAGTTGGAAGTACTCACTTTACTCCCTGCACCTCGCGTGCAGTTGCAGGTATCGTTCACCCGGTAGCGGGTTATTAGCGGATTGGAGGTATTGTTATTGTAGCTGAGTAAGGTGACCGCCAGCGTTCGCAGCACCGGATGTTGTCTTTTGTTTTCCAGAAATTTTACTTGTATACATTTATTGGCCTGTAGTTGTGTTAAGGTTTCCTTAGATGCTCGTGACTTGTGACACCCCGGTCGGGTAGTAATTAACAGTTTCTAATGCCATTAAGTTGTATCTTCTATTCATTTATGTTTAATAATTGTTAGTGAAAGGATTTGGGTTAGTTGGCTGGCCTTGTCTTCATGAGAGGCGCCATCACGACCGGGTATGGGAATTGGGTCGTGACATTAATAATAATCGCACATGTAATCATCTCATAGATGCATCTTATGTGGTATACATGGCAGGTGAATGGGCCCATATTCACCTTTGATATTTCCAGCATTCATGGGATTCAATCCGAATTTTAGTTGATCTATTAATTAATGAGAACAAGCAATATAAGAGAATTCATAAAGAACTTTCTAGTTCTTTTAATATTTACCCATGTGAATTCTCTATTATTTTTGCACATCATACTTAAATTGATATGGGTAAACCAATTATGCCAACTGAATAAATTGTCAATATTGATAAACTTTAGATTTACGCCATGACGTGTGCAATTATCAATAAACTCCAAGTTTATTTTGATATGGATTTTTATATCAATAAATATCCACTTTATTGTGGTATTCTTTTATTTGTGTTGTACAAACTGGAGAATAAAGCGGGCAGCGTTTCACATACATATTACCCAGCTACAAGTTGTAGTAATAAAAGATATTAAATCTTTCCTTTATTTATAGTCTCAATATAATCAACCGCTTTCGTGTATACTATGGAAACTGAATAAGTTTCTTTGAGACTTACTACAACACAATACCTTATTGGTAATCAATTGTGTTTCTCCAAAATAGTATAATTGGCTCTTGTAGAGTTCTCAATTAATTTTGTAGTACCACATATTTATCAACATCCATATGGTGTATATCTCTTTTAAAGAGAAAGTTATACCATTACAGTTATGGTCATGGTCAAAATTATATGCAAGTTCTGTTTCTTGCATTACCGTTGTCTTTTAGTAATCACAATGCCAAACTATTTTGGCATACAATAAGTACGTGACCAATGACCATTTATGCCATAATAATGACATTATTTTCTTATTTCCTCTCAAACCTCCTTCTAGAGGTGAGTGTGGGATATACCACTAGCACGCTCATATTCTTCCAAAAATGAATATGTATTCTTAAATCAGATGTTGTCACATTCACATCATGAATGGACCATAATCATCTACATGTGCTTTATAAAATCTTATGTCAAATCGATGACAAATATTACTTTCACAAAGTGAAGGATTATTTTGAGAATCCTTATTATTCTCATTATCACAATGATGACGATTATAATTTCGTCTATTGCCACGTCCACATCCATTGATACCTTCACGGTAATAATTTTGTCTTCTTTCAGACTTTATCATATACTGCTATCACATTCTCTTAAGGGAATGAGAATAAAGCAAATTCAATGGGACATACTTCCACTTCTTGTGCTCACAATCATACATAAATTTGATCATGGCATAACATAGAAACTTTACCACTTCGAGTGGTTGTAATTTCTTACTAACTCCATTAGAGTTATAATCAAAATTTATTGTATTTGCTTGTATTTAAAATTAAATTATAGAATAAAAGAGAAAAATACGGTAAAATACATACCTTAAATCCATAATTTAATCATGAAAGAAGTTCCTGAAACAATTGACAATCATTATGCTCAATCCCAAAGCTTTTACTCAAGTGGTTAGAGACTCGTGCTGATAACGTGTTATGAAATAATAAAAGAAAAAGAAAAGTATTGCAGGGAAAAGTGAGGAGAGAGAATTTTTATTGATTTGGGATGAATTACAATGGAATAGAACCCTCTTTATAGGGAAAGAGTGACTTAGGCACCAAGTAATAAACCGTAGAATCTCTCTAAATATAGACAATCACCTTAAATAGAATCCTATTTATAACAAAAAAATATGATTTAGTACTACATATTTTCTGATGAAAAAAGGGTAAAAAGTGGAATACAATAATTTCACTTGTTAGATTTTTTGTTCATACAAAAAAAGGTTTGAAATAAATTCACATTTAAAAAAAAAATTACGCTCACTTCAATTAGTTACACATCTATTCTTTCCTTTTATAAAAAAAAAATATCTAATTTTCAAGGTGAAACTAGGGAGAAATTTAAAAATAGCCAAATTTACAAGTGGCAATTCAAAACAGTTACAGTTTCAAAAGTAATCGAAATTTGTCACTTTTCATGTAAAGATAAATCTGAACGAAAAGACTGTTCAAAATCTTAAAAATACTTCAGTATATTATACTGGAGTTCCAACATAAGTATACTGGAACCCAAATTTGGGGGCCTCAAGCATTTGCTTTAGACGCTTGACCCTGTAGCCAGCCCTGTTACTTATACATAGGATAATGCTAAGTATGACTTATAACTAATACAAGTATTAATTATACATATGTTGAAAAAATGTATCAAAAAAGGTATTAGTAATGTACAGACTAATGCTTGCATTATTTTTTTTAATACCTCCTACCAAACGACTCCATAACGACAGAATATTCTTTTCGCTCGCACTTGAATTAAAAATTCATTCTTCTATTGGGAGATGGAAAATAAAAAAAACATATAAAATTCTCACTATCGCTCCTTTATATTTAACTTAAATATCAAAAAAATAATACTATTTCTTAAATTTATATGTCCAGTCACAAAAACTAACATATATAAAAATGAATAAATTAATACTCGTATCTGGTAATTTACGCAAAGTGAGCAGTGGCACTGGCAGTCGGCAGACAACAGAAAAGGGTAGGCCACGTCCCACGTAGTGTACTCTGAATGGAAAACTCGGTTTGTGCGCCGATTACGCTTTTCCTGGCTGATTCCAGCTCATCAGATCTACAACTGGCCCTTCTTTTACGGTCCCCGCTGGCATTTACACGTCACTCTCTCTTTTAAATCTTCAATTATTGGACTGTCATTCTCAAAATTTACACACTCCTGTTACCCTAAACTTTCTCCACTCACTCCTTTTCATTTACAATTACAATCGTTCCCATCTTCAATCTCACCTCTATGTATATGTACAGTAGTAAAAGAACCCAGAAAATTCAGGGTGGATATGTAAATATACTATATTTTTATTCACTGTGATGGTAAAAGAAAATTTATCAATAGTTTTGATAGTATAAAAGAAATCATCTTTTCTTCTTCAAATTCCTAGTCTTGACAGAGAGAGAGAGAGGAGAGACTTTTTCAAAAAGAGGAATAGTAGATTGTAAGAGAAAGCCGTTAGATTGGAATTATCTGAGACTGAATATATATAAAGAAGAGTTGAAACGGCAAAGACAAAACCAGAAAAAAAAAAGATCCGTTTGGTCTTTCTGATTGGAATTCAGCGATTTTGAGGATCTATTTTTCTTGGATTTTGAAGATCCTTCAGTTGATATCAGGTGATCTTGTTTAGTTGTTGCCTTATTTATCTTGCTTTCTTGTTTTCTTTCAACTGAATTATGTGTCATTTTCATAGTTTAATTTGAATATACTGTTCAACAATTTGAGCCTTTCCTATCTGGTAATTTCTTTGATCTATTTTTTTATAATTATTCTGGGATTTCCGTCTGATGATCTAGTCACTGAGCAAATTTGGATCTTTCCTTAATTTTCTTCTTCAAATACGTGTTTTTCTGTTAAGGGGAAATTTCCATTTTTTGGGTAAGTTTTGGTGTTATTTGGAATATCAGATGAGTAGTAAATTCCCTATTCTTATTCGTCTTGTATATATTTAGAATTGGCTTTAGTTCCAATATTTCGTATCTGTATGTAAATGCTTTAACCTGAAGCAAAGCTTTTCATTTTTTTTTTTTTTTTGTGTTATTAGTATACAGCTGTGGTGAGATTGATGAAGAGTAAAGGACCATCAAATGCTTTATTTGGTTAGTGTTGAGTCATGTTCTTGCTTTATTTTTCCACTTGTTAATTGCTATGCACTCTATATGCTTGACTTCTTAGAAATCGATAATTTATGAGCACATGACTGGACTAGTTTATTGGTATGATCAATTTGCAATGCTAATCTTTGCCCAAATTTTTGGCACCTAATCTGTGTCAAATTATGTATCATTGAGTTACCTCGAGATCGTTATGATTTTCTCTTATGACTGAATTAAGCATTTTGAAAGATGATAAGTATAAAAGTCTTATTTTTTCTGGTGTAGGCCTTTTTTTACTAGCTCGTCTTGCAATTATTAATCATTGAGTCACAGCAGATCAGATTGATGTGCAATGCAGAGATCACGTAGGGCTCTTCTGCAAAGAAGAAGAGCTTTGGAGAAGACAACTTGCGGGAGGACTCGTGTTTATAAAGTTTCTCTTTCTGTGGTTGCTGTTCTGTGGGCACTTGTTTTCCTTTTGAACTTGTGGATCGGTCATGGTGATGTTAATGAAGGTTAGTTCCATCAACTGCTTTAAGTTTGATATTAGGTCTGTAGGTTCCACTTTGTTGGAAAGGGGTGATTAAGATGCATACAAATTGTGCAAATATGTGCATAATCGACTAATTTATTAGCATCTTTGTTTAGTTAGTTTAGAAGTCGAAATTTGTTTTTCATTACATGACATTACTATTTCTCGAAAGTAATACTCCCTCCGTTCCAATTTATGTGAACCTGTTTGACTGGGCACGGAGTTTAAGCAAAAATGAAGACTTTTGAAATTTGTGGTCCTAAACAAGCCAAAAATAGGCCCAGAGTATTTGTGTGGTTATAAAAGCTTCTAACTAAGGATAGAGTTGTAAGTTTAAGCTAAATTGTTACCAAATTTAGAAAGGGGTCATTCTTTTTGGAACAGACCAAAAAGGAAATAGGTTCACATAAACTGGAACAGAGGGAGTAGTAGCTATTATCGTTTGCCTTTAACATGTTATATTTGTTTGATTTAGATGGAGCTGGAGATTTTCCAGTACCTGTAGGATCATGGGATGAAGATAAACCTCAATATGGTAGCGGCACTTGTGCTGCTTTGCCCGAGACTGAAACTTCATCACAGGAAATCAGTTCTGAAGACTCAGCAAAGATTTTATGTACAGAGGCAGGGAAAAATCAAGTTATCAACGGAGAAACACCAGATGTTGTGCAAAACAGCAACCCTGTTCCTGCGAATCAACAGCAGGCTAGTGAGGGAAAACCAGAGTCTACTCCAAGTTCAGAAAAGGATGCTTCAAAGTCGGACAGATTTGCTCGTGCCGTGCCTCCAGGTCTTGATGAATTCAAAAACAAGGCATTTAACGCAAAAAATCAGGGAAAAAGTGGCCAGGCCGGAGGGATTATACATAGGTTAGAGCCTGGAGGATCAGAGTATAATTATGCTTCTGCTTCAAAAGGAGCGAAAGTCCTGGCTTACAACAAGGAAGCAAAAGGTGCTTCCAACATCTTGAGCAGAGATAAGGACAAGTACCTTCGTAATCCTTGCTCAGCTGAGGAGAAGTTTGTCATCATTGAACTGTCGGAAGAAACCCTCGTGGATACAGTTGAGGTTGCAAATTTTGAACATCACTCGTCTAATCTAAAAGGTTTTGAGCTCCTTGGCAGTCCCATTTATCCAACAGACACATGGATCAAAGTTGGAAATTTTACCGCTGCAAATGTAAGGCATGCTCAAAGGTTTCTTCTTCCAGAGCCAAAATGGGTAAGATATCTTAAATTGAATCTTCTGAGCCATTATGGTTCAGAGTTCTACTGTACACTGAGCATTTTGGAGGTGTACGGAGTTGATGCTGTTGAAAAGATGCTTGAGGATTTTATCTCTGATCAAGATAAGTTGTTTGTACCCAAACGAACTAGTAGTAACGAGAAATCTCTGCCCACTCAACATGTTTCTAATCAAGGTGAATTCGTTCAAGATATTGATGATGAAATGGAAAAGGATATAGCTGTTGGAAAGTCTGATGTTAAAAGGGGTGTAATGACAACTGATGTGCCTGACCAAGTGGAAGAAGTTCGTCATCAACAGGTAAATAGGATGCCCGGCGACAGTCTGAAGATACTGATGAAAAAAGTACGGTCTCTGGATATCAATTTGTCAGTTTTGGAACGATATCTGGAAGAGTTAAATTCTAGATATGGCAAAATTTTCAAAGACTTCGATTCTGAAATGGGAGAAAAAGATGCTCTTCTTCAAAATATCAGATCAGAAATAAGGGGTTTATCTGAAAGCAAGGATTCCTTAGTATGTGAAGTTCTTCCTCTTAGCTTTGCTCTCTTTTTTCTCTAGATTCTTGTCTATGGCATAAGCTTTTTATAATTTTACGCCAATGTTACAGATCAAGACATTCAATCATAATGCTTTTTTCAGGGTAAAGAAGTTGCGGACCTAGTATCATGGAAATCCCTTGTTTCCACGCAGCTGGAAGTTATTATCAGGGGAAATGATATTCTCAGGTATATTTTTCTCCTGATAATGTAATCCGTGTGTTATAAATGTCATGTTGTAAGGTCTCTATTTGACCTGATCCTGTTCTCTCTCTGCCTTTAAAGTAGGACGTCCTTTGTCATCTTTCTGGAAATGTTTTAGTTTGAATTTGTAGGATAGTAGGCAGAACAAAGTGATATGATCATCCCTCTCTTATAATGGGGAAGCAAAGAATAGTGGAGTTCATTTTTGTGAAGTAGAGCTATGCGCTGTAGGTATGAAGTAGGAAACCATTTAAACGACAAAAAGTTAATGCAGAAATCATGTTATATGTCCAGTAACTGTAGTTTCCAAAAAAAACTTTCCCCACGACTTGATACCTATATCTCACCAAAAGAAGAAGAGTATGAAAAGGAAGCATTGTACTATAAGGTACCTAAGCTCCCATCTACATTGAATTGATCTGGACATTATGTATTTGAACACGGAAATATTAGTTCATGCATTAACTAGAGGATTTGAAATGAACTAATCCATATGTAGCCAGCACTAATGTTGCGAGGAAGCATCAATAATGTATTGTTACAATTTTAGCATAGTAACGTTGATGTTTATTTGTTTTTCCTTCTTGTCCCCAGATGTAATGGCGCAAGGGGCAGGGCGTGTGAATTTGTTTGCATTACTTTCCTTATTTTGCCGAATGAAACAGTATATTTTCCCCTGGGTTTCATGTTTAACACCGAATTTTAGATAGCTAGAAGTAAATATTTTAAACAGCTGGCCAATTTTTCATAATAATGATTCATAAATAAAGCAAATTTGTATTACTTTTGCTCCATGTGTAGGGGTCCTCATTATTTCTGCATTGTGTTGCTATTCTAACATTTGCATCAAAATGCAGGAAGGAGGTGGAAAAGGTTCAGAGGAATCAGGTACACATGGAGAATAAAGGAATTGTTATTTTTCTTATATGTTCATTTTTTGGATTATTGGCTCTTGTCAGGCTTCTCGTAGATACAGTTTTGAGTAATTATTGGTCAGAAAATTCCAGGAAATTTTGTTCAGAGAGTTACTCCTGGTATTTCCTACTTTTGAGTTGTACAATTACAATTATCATCCTATCCTTGTAATTTATGTAATATAGCAACGTCAACTCATACATACAACTTCATGATCGACTTTGGAAATAAACCTTATATATTTGATGTCGAAAACCTTCTCCTATTTGTGAAAAAGCTGGAGGGAGTATCCTTCAATTTCTACGTAGTTATTTTTTTTTCCTGCTCCGATGAACGTTGGGCAGGCCAGAAACGCCCAGGTATGTCGAAAAAGACGAATGAATGTGTAATACGAAAGTGGATCTAGCAAAAACGAAAAACACTAGATACATGTGTTGAGGGATAGAGTTACTCGATACATGTGAATATATGTGTTAATGGATGGAGTTACTCGATACACATGCTGGCGGGAGATGGCACGGATACTCAGTGGAATAATTAAGATGCACACAAGTTGACCCGAATATTACCGTTACAAAAAAAAAAAAATTGCCCCTGATAAACTAAACTGGAACTGAAGCCATATCCTGTCATTTAGGAAGAGACATGAACTGGACTTGAAAAAGTTCTCTAGCATTATGCACGGGTAATGATAAATAAATAAATAAAGATTTTATTTAGCTAGTGAACATGTAGCAACTCAATATCTCGACGCATCATGAGGACTTCCTTTTAAGATTATTCAAGTTTAAGGTAATTCATTTTTAAGCAAATTGCCAATTTTAATGCTTGAGACTCCATACGCGCACCCAGTTCCCCAACAAGGCGTCAGCTTCCCTTGGTATGAAAAAGTATGAAGCAAGTCAATAAGGATCCCCAAGTTTCTGAATATTACATGAGAAAGCTGCAACACAATTTTGGAAATGGCCAAAGAACGAAACAGAAACCTTTGTATAGCTTAAAAGCTCAAAGCTGAATAAACAATGATTAGAAACTGAGTGTACCCTCAGTGAAAGTCCAAACTGTCTTACAAATACTTTATCACAATTAATTTCTTACAGACACATGATACATAACCTACCCAGCTCGACATACACTGAACCCCCTTCTCTATTTTATTTTCCAGTAAGTACACACAGTCAATCTATTTATTATCAGATCCATACTCGACACCGAGACCATACAGGACACCTGCATACTTCTCAGTAGCGCCATTAAAGAAGTTATCTTTTAACTTCTTGAAGGCACACGAGGTTAGTAAGCTATCTGAACCTGCCTGATGACAAATACCAATTCTCTCGAGTTCCAACAGTTCCGCCAGCTTGTTCAAGCCACCGTGAAGGCTATTACAGAACTTCATCAGGTGTTTGATGTCATAAACCAGTGGAAAGTACACGTTTAGCAAATCAAAGAACCCTGCTTGTGTTTCCGGCAAAGTCCTACATGTTAATAGCTTGAGCAAGTATCCAAAATCATACCCACTGTGAAATGTCACCCAATGGACCCCGTCATTCAAAACGATTCCAGATGACATCAAGAGCTCACCAAACCGTTTTGCATCAATTCCCATTTCATTGTTCTTCTTGAAATCAATCCCAGATTGCATCAGCAATTCAATTGAATCATTTGCAAAAATATCTGCACTTGTGTCAAATTCACGGAAGTTGAATTGCCAAATGCAATAGCGCTCGCTTCCACAAGTAGGTAAGTTTCCATTTTCATCGGAAAATGTAAGACCCAACTGAATCAACTTCAACATATCAACATTATCCTTCAAGGTCTGATAGTTATACTCATTGATATGCTTGAAATTGCCAACAGGGCGAAGCACCACCCCAGGGAACTCGGTGTCCATGGCAATGTAAGGATAGGCATCCACAATTTCACGGATCAAAGCAAATTCCTCCTCAAGATTATCGCTCCATACCTCTCTAATTTGGATAGAATCACTTTTCGGTAACACAGACATGTTTGTAGAAAAAAGAGTTGAATCTGGCAATGTTTAGAATAAGCAGGTCTGCAATTTGAAGGAAGACGAAGGATAATCAGACTAAGCATTCTAAAGAGCCTGATGATGAAATCAATGTGAAGCCTCTTCGCAGAACAAAAATGACATAGCAACCAGAAGGCATAGTTACATTTTCTTATTCGATTATAGTCTTGATCTGTCTTATAAACCTATGAGAATGGAAACAGAGAAGACAAGTTTTATAAATACAAAACAAACTTATCCAAGTTTTACTTATCACTTATGCTACGTCTAATGCATACAGTTTTTCTGGTAGAATAGAAATTCCTACCACATTTGTAGTTCTTACATCATCTATAACGAGACAAGCTCTAAGCACTTCCACATTTCTCCAGAATATTTCTAATGGAGGCACTCCTTATTTTTTTGTAAAAGGAAGTTACGTAAGCTTTGGGTAGAGTTCTTATGCATGAGAGCAGTGAGCAAAGGGAAGTAAAAGCAGTACACCAAGCCTCACAAATATAGGCACAAACTCATATGCAAGTGCTGATCACTTGTAAATGATTCTTAGCAGAACTATTTTAGTAACCTCACCATTCAAGGAGCAGTTGCTTCTTCAAAAATATAAGAGAAAAAATTATGCGCATGGTTTGTCAAAGCCAAGTCGCAAGTCATTAAAATGCAAGAAACTAGTTCCTCTAAAAGATAGTTCTAGCTTCAGATTGTGACTGCAAATTGTTCAAAGAAGCCAGAGCAAGCCCATTTGTACCTTTCTTTACAACATCATTTGATAAAACGTCGATTAACTACATATAGAAAAGGAAACACAAATTCCTTTTTTAAATAAAAATGAAACAACAATTCTAAGACATAGAACTTACATATTAAGAAGGCCTGGGTACAATCTTCATCACATGGTCGACTCCAAAGCTACAACTACAAGAATATCAGGACAGCTAACACGGCAAGTCAGGCTATCCTGCATACACAATCATAGAATATTACAAGTTAAACAACTAAGGTCAGAATCTGAAAATCAAACAGTAGAATAGGTCATCAAGCAAGGGCCTTATATAAGCACAGCAAATTGGTCTTGTATCAAGAGACAGTACAACACAATAGCACAATTTAAGCAGAAATTAAAAGAAGAAAGGAATGTGCTTTCATTCTACGTAATCTATAACTTTCAGTCTGTAAGTTCTACTCCATCTTGCTTTTCATCAACCATAACATGCTGGTAAAATGAACTGAGCGATAATGGAAATAAATTTAATTGATTAAAGCAGCTCTAAGCACACTTAAGCTGTCAAGAAGAGATGGAATCTGTGGATAGTATAAACCTTACAAATACAAAGTATAGAACATTTTCATATAAATTCGACATGCACAAAAGCATAAACCTTGTTCGTTGAGAATCATATTTTGAGGTTTCAAACCGCAGTAAAGTAGGATGAAATTTGAGTAATCATAATTTTCAAGTTCAAAAATAAGCAAGTAAATGCCAACACAAAGGAACTCAATTACCAGCACAATAATGTTTTTTTTTCAATCCTCTGCTCCTCCACCCCCTTTTCATTTTCCATTTTTGAACGAAAAGAGCTCAAAACATGGAAATGAAATTAAAAGTAAAAACAAAGGAAACTACTCAAGACTAAAGCAAAACTAACCAAGAACGATAAACACAATTAAACTTCTGCTTACTTGCCCTCTTCAACAGCTAAAACCATAAAGACCGTTTCCTCTCCTTTTCCTCACTACAATAGACAAAGCTCTACGATTGCCACCAAAACCAACTAGCATAATCCCAATTAACCTTTAAAAGAAGTACTCCTCTTAGGGGACCCATTTTACATATAATACACTTCCTATTTGAGGTCGCATAATCAGACTATAATAATTTCAAACATTTCTTTAAAAAAAATCACGACTTCATGATTTAAAGAATTGTTGTTCAAACTTTTACCAAGGATTGAATGATTTGACCCTCGTACTCCTAATCACCGTTTTGGGACAAAGGAACTAGAAGGTAAAATGAAGCAAGTAAAAACTCATAGTAAAGCAAAAGGTTGAATTATTTTTTTTATGACCAAAAATTTAGTTACTTCAAATTTTTTTTAAAAAAAATTGATAGTACCCAGGAAATTGATACGTAAAATGAAGCAAGATAAGAACTCATAGTACAATAAAAAATTCAATTATTGTTTATGACCCAGAAAATGAAAGAGGAAATTGATCGTTCCAAAGCTATTAGCTTAAAACTTTTTCCGAAAAAATTAAATAAATTAACCAGCCAAATTGGGTCAACTGGATCTACAGAGCAGCAGACATAGAGTTCGATTCAGATGAAAAAGCTTAACTTTCAGCTAGATCGAACATCATAACTTCAACTTCACTCAAAAATTGAAGCCACTTTGTTACAACTTAGATGCATAATCACTTCAAAATATAGACAAAACATCATTCATCAAATCCTACTTTCGATTCATACATACATAAAACAAAAACCCTAAATAATTTTTTTTCCAAAAAAAAAAAAAGGAGGAAGTGAAGTTGAGGTATAGAATGGATAGATCAAGAGTTTAAAATAGAAAATAAACCTGATCTGAGAAGAGTGAAGCTAAGTCAAAATCAAAGAGCTCATCAAAGATGAAGAAGAAAAAGCAGAGGCCCTTATGTGAGAAAAGTGTGATGTGTAGTGATGGTGTTTTCTTCTTCTTTTTTGCTTTTTCTTTTTTGGCTTTTTCTTTTTATTTATATTTGTTTGAAGTCTGCTTTTGACGAGTGGGCAGGTTGTGTTTGGTTTACGGTTTTTTTTTTTTTTTCTTTAATTTGTTTTATAAAAGCGCGTTAGATAATGGTCAGCTATTCATTATTAGGACGTGGTCGGAACGGGACCCTATGGGCTAATTCAATTATTACTAACAATTGGATTGGGCTTACTATATTACTATGGGCTTGTTTAACTGATGAGCCCATTTATCTGCATTTTCATTGCCCAATAGTAATTTTTAGCATAAATATGAAAAATTGGCATCCTATAACAACACATAACAGGAATTGGTAATTTTTTAGCCATCTATTAGGTTTGGCAAAGATAGCCCAAAACAATTGGCATTACCAAATCCCAAAAAACTACTCTCTTATATATTCTCTTTCAAAAAAAAACTACTCACTTATTTTGGCTTCCCTCCCCCTTTCTCTTCTTGTATTTCTTCTTCTATCTGTTCTCCTTCGCTCTCATAGTTTAGCAAAAATTCTTGCAAATTATACAAAAAAAAATCAGTGGGAGGATGATCTCACGTTAGAGAAAATCAGAAGCAAAAACTAAGAGAGAAGAAACACATTTCAACTTTGTTTTTCTTTTTCTTTTTTTGGTTGGATTGAACGAGTGGGTGTGATTGAAATTGGTTGAAAATACCTAAATGAGGCTATATACAAAAATTGAGCATGATTAGAAGTGATTTAGACTGGTTTCAGGTAAAAAATCAGACCTAAAAATCCAACTTCGACATGTTTATAGCACGTTATATATCGTGTACATCATGTATATCACACAGGTTTTTAAGGACGTATATGTATATCACTTTGTATATCGCATATACAACATAATTTTTTACGGACACTCGTGTATATCACATTGTATATCATATATATGACACAAACTTTCATGGATATACACAGATACACATGATATACATGAGATATCACTGATGTACATAGAGATATACACGGGATACAATAGGGATACACATATGGAGTCGTCTTGAACTTGAGTTTTCAATTTGAAATGTGTCATACAAAAGGAAAATAAAATTTTAATATACTTTTTTGATATACATATTACTATTATGTTATACACTGTGATATACAATAATATAATTATTAATGTGTTATATATAATTGGATATACAGATAAAAAATTAGAAAAATAATTAAAAAATATTTGGAAGTTTTTTCGGATACTACTAAAGGAGATGGAACCTAATTTCTAGGATGGTGGTTGCTATGAGAGAAGAGATAGAGGATTTTAAATATTTTTTGCTATTTTTAAGAAAAATAATTTTGATGGAGCTTATTTTTACGGTGATGGTTGAACCATTTGAAGAGAGAGAGAGAGAGAGTAACTTCAGGCTACTATATGCCAAATCCTAAAATGTTGGTTTTTTTATGCCAATTGTTGGACCTAGTTGTCATGCCATGCCAAATATATCATAGGAAACAACACTGTATAGTCGCTCCCAAACATAATAGTCAAATATACATGTGTGTGTGTGTTATGTATGTATGTATGTATAAAATAGGTATATATATTTTTATATTTAACTAGCGAATATAATTATTTTTGACTAATATGCCAAATGTCTAACTTGCCCAAACGTACTAGCTGTTTTTTCAGACGGTTTTGAATAAATAGTCGGTATTTGAAATTAGTTGAAAAATAACTACTTTTTATGTGAAAACACCATAATAAATTGATAGTGTTATGAATTTCTAACTTAAACAAGTAAAATTATATAATGAGCAAAAAATATATATTTATTCGTATACCAAACCATGTATATCATCAAAGTAAAATTCAAAAACGGTAAAAATCAATCTTAAAATTCTTCCCTACTTATGTTAATATTTTGCCAAATCTTTTTTTGGTTACAATATATAATCTTGTGATAGCTAAACTAACTAGTATTTGTAATTGGCGAAACACCGTGGGTAGACTCCTTAAAGATACTAGTAACTATTTCAAAATAATAGTTAACTTATAGATTATTGTCATAACATGCAAGAGAGTTATTAGCAAGTTAGTGAATATGCACCAAATAAATAAGTTTCTCATCAATGGTCAACCAAGAAGACAAAAAAGGAAAAAAGACTTTATGAGAAAAACAACTTGTAGTAAATGCTTAAATAGGGATCATATTTTAGTAATCTACAACAAGTGTATTATCTATTTCTATTCAGAATAATCTTCTTATAATTTGTGCCTAAATGAATACAATAAAAGGTTGCCAAGGAAAAGAGTTCTCTTAGTCAAATAGTTTTGAAGGATGGCAGAAATTACCGAAAAGCTACTTGTTTTTATGATGGTTATAATGGTTCTTTTTGCAGGACAATTTATGGCGGATCAAGTTACAGAAGTATGTTTCTGCAGAATATCGCCTCAAGGTTAATGAAAAAGCTTAATGATTACACTATTTTTTTGAGTTTTTCACATTTATATTATGGGTTCAATTAAATTCAATCTCAATAATATAAATCACCTATGAGCATAATGTTGTTCATATAGTGTTGTAAATAAGGCTTTGATATATTCGCTTGTTCATATGTCCAAATGTGCTAATTTATTAAAACCTGATGTTTTATACTTCAATACCACACAAGTGGGGGTGATTTGTGTGGTACCCAATTTTTCGTTTAACCTGATTATAGAAGGACCTGGTTCTTCTATGTGTTCCAACTACTACTGTTGCGGAATAATAAATACAAAAATTAAAGAACACAGATTTTACGTGGAAAACACCTGGCTCAAAAGGTGAAAAAACCACGACTTACCTTCCAGTAGGATTTTTCCAAACTCTCCACTAAAATCACTGAGCCAAAAACTGCATTTACAAAAAATTCTTTTGTAAACCTAGGATTAACTCTAATCCCGTTGTGGCACACAACCTCAACTGTTGCGACAGCTTCAAGTTAACTCTAACTTGAAAACTCTAAGTACCTATTACAATTGCTTCTAAATAAGCTGAAAGGTACAATTTAAAATCACCTACTACAATTGAACTAGAATAAAAGATAGACACTTGGAACTGGTTCTTCTATCTGGTTCAAGTAGCTTGAGGATTGCACTCTTGAATCACACATAAATTGCTTGCAAAATTGCCTTGCTATTTTGCTCTCAATTCACGTTTAACTTCTGCTTATGTGCATTACCTGTAAAAGAGAACAACACTAATATTTAAGGAGTTAGCAATTGGAGATTGACTAGGATACAAACGCTACTCTTCCATGGTGGAAGAGTTTTAGTTGATCTCATACTCTAACTCTATCCTTTTCCTAAACCGTGTTCTCTTTGTGTAAGGAGTCTTTCTCCTTATCCAATATGCAACCTTTTCGATCATGATCAGGAGATAACACTTCTGATATGTTAGGTTTATCTCCTTCACGTGCATCTTACATGTTTGAGGTGATCATAACTGTGCTTCACAAGATGGACCTGGTCCATATCTGATTTCCTTTGTCAGTCTTCAAAAACTTTACCTTTACTTGGGCCACCAAAACTTTTGCAGGTAAAAGGGATGTCGAGATATGTTTGAGGAATTGTCAAAACTATTGCCATATAGCCCACACCAAAGGTAATTACTTACTATAAAGGACATGTGGGGAGGTAAGTATTGAGCTTCCTATATTTTGTCCTCAACTCATGTTTTGTTGTTAAATTGTTTTGCAGCAAAAAGTATGATTGAAACAAACCAAATATGCTTATGCAGAGTAGCATCTCAAGGTTTGGCCTTTTATAAATATGGGCATTGTTGGTTATCGAGTTATTCGTTATAGGTGTTATTCTTCGAGATTTCATTGAAAATATTTATAACTTGTAATCTTGCATATCTTGTTTGAATACGTAATTGAAATTTTTAGTTTTCTTAACAGATATATGAAAGGCAAACCAAGTGATAATCAAAATTTTATTCAAGAACATATCCATTGTATAAATGAAAAGGACATATGTATGAGATACTCATGACTTGTTTGCAATTATGTCAACTTTGTAGGTAAACATGATATTGAAAGTTGTATGAGAAGCTGCAAGAGTTATTGCCATATCGAGACCACTTCTTAGGTTTATCTAACAACTATTAATTGTTGTGGTCCTTCATGTATTATTATGAATTAAAATGTTTGATACAAATATTTGTATCCCTTTTTTTCATTCTTATGCGGCTGATTAGAAAAATTAATCCATTAAGGACAACTTACCGCAATCAAGTACTATATTGCAATGAGTTTGTGAAAATGTTCATAAGTAAGCAGCTTTTGGGAGCACCTTAGAAAACCATAACTCACTTTGAATAGAAAAGCAAGAATTG